GATAAAGACAGACGTACAGACAGACAGAGATATAGACAGACGTACAGACAGACAGAGATATAGACAGACGTACAGACAGACAGAGATATAGACAGACGTAAAGACAGACAGAGATATAGACAGACGTACAGACAGACAGAGATATAGACAGACGTACAGACAGACAGAGATATAGACAGACGTACAGACAGACAGAGATATAGACAGACGTACAGACAGACAGAGATATAGACAGACGTACAGACAAACAGAGATATAGACAGACGTACAGACAGACAGATATAGACAGACGTACAGACAGACAGAGATATAGACAGACGTACAGACAGACAGAGATATAGACAGACGTACAGACATGGAGATAAAGACAGACGTACAGACAGACAGAGATATAGACAGACGTACAGACAGACAGAGATATAGACAGACGTAAAGACAGACAGAGATATAGACAGACGTACAGACAGACAGAGATATAGACAGACGTACAGACAGAGATATAGACAGACGTACAGACAGAGATATAGACAGACGTACAGACAGAGATATAGACAGACGTACAGACAGACAGAGATATAGACAGACGTACAGACAGACAGAGATATGGAAAGACGTACAGACAGACGGAGATATAGACAGACGTACAGACAGACAGAGATATAGACAGACGTAAAGACAGACAGAGATATAGACAGACGTACAGACAGACAGAGATATAGACAGACGTACAGACAGAGATATAGACAGACGTACAGACAGAGATATAGACAGACGTACAGACAGAGATATAGACAGACGTACAGACAGACAGAGATATGGAAAGACGTACAGACAGACGGAGATATAGACAGACGTACAGACAGACAGAGATATAGACAGACGTACAGACAGAGATATAGACAGACGTACAGACAGACAGAGATATAGACAGACGTACAGACAGACAGAGATATAGACAGACGTACAGACAGACAGAGATATAGACAGACGTACAGACAGACAGAGATATAGACAGACGTACAGACAGACAGAGATATAGACAGACGTAAAGACAGACAGAGATATAGACAGACGTACAGACAGACAGAGATATAGACAGACGTACAGACAGACAGAGATATAGACAGACGTACATACAGACAGAGATATAGACAGACGTACAGACAGACAGAGATATAGACAGACGTACAGACAGACAGAGATATAGACAGACGTACAGACAGACAGAGATATAGACAGACGTACAGACAGACAGAGATATAGACAGACGTACAGACATGGAGATAAAGACAGACGTACAGACAGACAGAGATATAGACAGACGTACAGACAGACAGAGATATAGACAGACGTAAAGACAGACAGAGATATAGACAGACGTACAGACAGACAGAGATATAGACAGACGTACAGACAGACAGAGATATAGACAGACGTACAGACAGACAGAGATATAGACAGACGTACAGACAGACAGAGATATAGACAGACGTACAGACAGACAGAGATATAGACAGACGTACAGACAGAGATATAGACAGACGTACAGACAGACAGAGATATAGACAGACGTACAGACAGACAGAGATATAGACAGACGTACAGACAGACAGAGATATAGACAGACGTACAGACATAGAGATAAAGACAGACGTACAGACAGACAGAGATATAGACAGACGTACAGACAGACAGAGATATAGACAGACGTACAGACAGACAGAGATATAGTGGACAAACATCCACTATACCATACAACATCCACTACACCATACAGCATCCACTACACCATCCACTACACCCACTACACCATACAACATCCACTACATCATCCAACATCCACTACACCACACACCATCCACTACACCATACAACATCCACTAGACCATCCAACATCCACTACACCATCCACTACACCACACACCATCCACTAGACCATACAACATCCACACCACAATACACCATCTACCACATGCCAACAATCCCTTAAATCGTTCATCCCAGTTGGTTTTATCCTAGAAAAGTTTTTGTCTGTGGAAAAAGAAATCACGTGACCGGCAGACGCTTTTAATCAATCGTCTGCTCAAGTAGCTCTCCCGCCCAGAAATAGAAACAATTTGAGAAACTTGAGTTTGGAGCTGACGTCTGCATCTTATACGTCTGCGTTGCTGGTGACACCATCAGACAAGTGGGGTGACACCATAATACAGGTGGGGTGACACCATCATACAGGTGGGGTGACACCATCAGACAGGTGGGGTAACACCATCATACAGGTGGGGTGACACCATTGAAGGTGTGGTGACACCATCAGACAGGTGGGGTAACACCATCATACAGGTGGGGTGACACCATCATACAGGTGTGGTGACACCACCAGACAGGTGGGGTGACACCATTAGTCATTGTGGTTTCAGTGGGGGAGAGGATATGTGGGGGAGAATAAAGGAGGGGGGAGCATATGTGTATAGGCCGTATATATTTGTGCAAATGTGTTTATATATGTAAATTTGTGTATGTATATGTATGGTTTTTATGAGTATGTATGTGTGTATATGTGTGAGTGTGAGATCGCACTCATTAATGTGAAGACATGACGACATTGATGTGAAGACATGACGACAATGTTATGAAACAACATCTGACAAGTGACGATAACAATGTCTTGTTGTTTGCCACCCAGTTTTTTAACCAGAAGATAACAATTTCTACATCTACTTTAAGATAACAATTTCTACATCTACTTTATCATCTTTCGCCCGATCCCCCCCCCCCTCCCCCATTAGAATAACACTTTTATCAGATCCCATGGTTCTCTACAAGGTTCTATGGCTGGTTGGGCTTCAACATGAGGGGTCATGCATTTATGACGTCCACACGCGGGGGGGGGGGGGGGGTCCGAAAAAACCTGACTTTTGTGGACGCATATGGACTTGTATAAGGAAAAAAAGTGGATTTTTGTGGACGGGGGGGGGTCCAAAATCCAAACAAATTGTGGACGTCATAACTGGATGACCCCTGAGTGCTACTTCATGTTTTGTTGTGGGTGCTACTTCATGTTTTATTGTGGGTGCTACTTCATGTTTTATTGTGGGTGCTACTTCATGTTTTATTGTGGGTGCTACTTCATGTTTTATTGTGGGTGCTACTTCATGTTTTATTGTGGGTGTTGCTTCATGTTTTATTGTGGGTGTTGCTTCATGTTTTATTGTGGGTGTTGCTTCATGTTTTATTGTGGGTGCTACTTCATGTTTTGTTGTGGGTGCTACTTTATGCTTCATGTTTTATTGTGGGTGCTACTTCATGTTTTATTGTGGGTGTTGCTTCATGTTTTATTGTGGGTGTTGCTTCATGTTTTATTGTGGGTGCTGCTTCATGTTCTGACACCGAATCTTAGCTTGTGTTTGAAGCACCCCCCACCCGCTTGCGGAGGTTTCATCCTGTTAGTCCACCCTTGATCAGTTAGAGACTTTGATCAACTGACTCATTAATTTCATAAAATCGGCGGACAGAACAAAACTGACGTCATCAATGATTTTCTAGACCGCACCAAACGATTGTCTTCAGCTTTCTACGTCATTGTAAAAAAAAATTAATTTGTTGACGAGCGGTTAAAAAATACAACTTTTCATTAAAATAGTAAAACAATAGTCTAGTTGACAGGCAAAGTGTAAGATTTGTATTTAGTCTAGTTGACAGGCAAAGTGTAAGATTTGTATTTAGTTTTGTATTTAGTCTAGTTGACAGGCAAAGTGTAAGATTTGTATTTAGTTGACAGGCAAAGTGTAAGATTTGTATTTAGTTTTGTATTTAGTCTAGTTGACAGGCAAAGTGTAAGATTTGTATTTAGTTGACAGGCAAAGTGTAAGATTTGTATTTAGTAGACAGGCAAAGTGTAAGATTTGTATTTAGTTTTGTATTTAGTCTAGTTGACAGGCAAAGTGTAAGATTTGTATTTAGTTTTGTATTTAGTCTAGTTGACAGGCAAAGTGTAAGATTTGTATTTAGTTTTGTATTTAGTCTAGTTGACAGGCAAAGTGTAAGATTTGTATTTAGTTTTGTATTTAGTCTAGTTGACAGGCAAAGTGTAAGATTTGTATTTAGTTTTGTATTTAATCTAGTTGACAGGCAAAGTGTAAGATTTGTATTTAGTTTTGTATTTAGTCTAGTTGACAGGCAAAGTGTAAGATTTGTATTTAGTTGACAGGCAAAGTGTAAGATTTGTATTTAGTTGACAGGCAAAGTGTAAGATTTGTATTTAGTTGACAGGCAAAGTGTATGATTTGTATTTAGTTGACAGGCAAAGTGTAAGATTTGTATTTAGTTGACAGGCAAAGTGTAAGATTTGTATTTAGTAGACAGGCAAAGTGTAAGATTTGTATTTAGTTTTGTATTTAGTCTAGTTGACAGGCAAAGTGTAAGATTTGTATTTAGTTTTGTATTTAGTCTAGTTGACAGGCAAAGTGTAAGATTTGTATTTAGTTTTGTATTTAGTCTAGTTGACAGGCAAAGTGTAAGATTTGTATTTAGTTTTGTATTTAGTCTAGTTGACAGGCAAAGTGTAAGATTTGTATTTAGTTTTGTATTTAATCTAGTTGACAGGCAAAGTGTAAGATTTGTATTTAGTTTTGTATTTAGTCTAGTTGACAGGCAAAGTGTAAGATTTGTATTTAGTTTTGTATTTAGTCTAGTTGACAGGCAAAGTGTAAGATTTGTATTTAGTTTTGTATTTAATCTAGTTGACAGGCAAAGTGTAAGATTTGTATTTAGTTTTGTATTTAGTCTAGTTGACAGGCAAAGTGTAAGATTTGTATTTAGTTTTGTATTTAGTCTAGTTGACAGGCAAAGTGTAAGATTTGTATTTAGTTTTGTATTTAGTCTAGTTGACAGGCAAAGTGTAAGATTTGTATCTAGTTGACAGGCCAAGTGTAAGATTTGTATTTTGGTGTGTGAATCGACAATTGCCTGTCGGCAGGGAGCGAGACCCAGTGTGTACTCACATAGCGAGGCCATAGAATCCAAAAGTTTCCTCATCCAATACTCCGCACACCCAACTCCGGGAAACGAGAAATGATTGAGGAGGAAAAATTCCGTAAGTAGCACAGAGCAAGATAATCCGTAGCTGAATGAGAACCTTCACACCTCCCCGCGCACCTGCTCCACGCAGCAGACAGTTCAGCGAGGCAAACTTTTCAACACTTGCTTGAATCGCGTCATTGGGCGGCGGTACAACGGCAGACGACCACACCGTGCCAAGCCAAGCGTGATGGGGAGGGAGGGGGGGGGGACACCCCGAAGGATACTGTTGCTAGACGGCTCCGTCTCAGCGCTATCTTGCCAAGCTACCCTACGGCACGCTACCCTACGGCACGCTACCCTACACGAGAAACGGATACGGATAGAGCTAGGAGGGGGAGGGAGGGGGTATCAAATATTTGGTGACTAAAGAGGGAAGGGGGGGGGGGAGGGAGAGGGAGAATTAAAATGCCGTATCCAATCATTTCCAGTACATATGGAGGGTGGGGTAGGGGGGAGGGGGTAGTTGAGACAGTGAAAAGAGGGTGGGGTAGGGGGGGGGGGAGAGTAGTGAAAAGAGGGCGGCAAAAACTGCTCAGTGGCGGCTGGGAAATCAATCAGCAGACCTGCACCAATGGGGCGGAGTTACCAGATAGCCACGCCTACCCATTCAACATTGACACCCGTGGCAAGCGGGGAATGGGTGGTGGCAGCACTAAGCGGTCAAATGTCAGTTGATGTCATTTGATGGCATTTGGTAGCAATAGATGTCATTTGATGTCAGTTGATGTCATTTGATGGCATTTGGTGGCAATAGATGTCATTTGATGGCATTTGGTAGCAATAGATGTCATTTGATGGCATTTGGTGGCAATAGATGTCATTTGATGGCATTTGGTGGCAATAGATGTCATTTGATGGCATTTGGTGGCAATAGATGTCATTTATTGAGAACAACTCGAGCTTGTTCAACGATTTATCAACACACCATTAAAAAGTTGATCTATCAACAGTTCAACACGCCATTAAAAAGTTGATCTATCAACACACCATTAAAAAGTTGATCTATCAACAGTTCAACACGCCATTAAAAAGTTGATCTATCAACAGTTCAACACACCATTAAAAAGTTGATCTATCAACACACCATTAAAAAGTTGATCTATCAACAGTTCAACATGCCATATAAAAGTTGATCTATCAACACACCATTAAAAAGTTGATCTATCAACAGTTCAACACGCCATTAAAAAGTTGATCTATCAACAGTTCAACACACCATTAAAAAGTTGATCTATCAACACGCCATTAAAAAATTGATCTATCAACAGTTCAACACGCCATTAAAAAGTTGATCTATCAACACGCCATTAAAAAGTTGATCTATCAACACACCATTAAAAAGTTGATCTATCAACAGTTCAACACACCATTAAAAAGTTGATCTATCAACACGCCATTAAAAAGTTGATCTATCAACACACCATTAAAAAGTTGATCTATCAACACACCATTAAAAAGTTGATCTATCAACACACCATTAAAAAGTTGATCTATCAACAGTTCAACACGCCATTAAAAAGTTGATCTATCAACACACCATTAAAAAGTTGATCTATCAACACACCATTAAAAAGTTGATCTATCAACAGTTCAACACACCATTAAAAAGTTGATCTATCAACACGCCATTAAAAAGTTGATCTATCAACACACCATTAAAAAGTTGATCTATCAACACACCATTAAAAAGTTGATCTATCAACAGTTCAACACGCCATTAAAAAGTTGATCTATCAACACGCCATTAAAAAGTTGATCTATCAACACACCATTAAAAAGTTGATCTATCAACAGTTCAACACACCATTAAAAAGTTGATCTATCAGCAGTTCAACACGCCATTAAAAAGTTGATCTATCACCACACCATTAAAAAGTTGATCTATCAACAGTTCAACACACCATTAAAAAGTTGATCTATCAACAGTTCAACACACCATTATAAAGTTGATTTATCAACAGTTCAACACGCCATTAAAAAGTTGATCTATCAACACGCCATTAAAAAGTTGATCTATCAACAGTTCAACACACCATTAAAAAGTTGATCTATCAACAGTTCAACACGCCATTAAAAAGTTGATCTATCAACACGCCATTAAAAAGTTGATCTATCAACAGTTCAACACACCATTAAAAAGTTGATCTATCAACACACCATTAAAAAGTTGATCTATCAACACACCATTAAAAAGTTGATCTATCAACAGTTCAACACGCCATTAAAAAGTTGATCTATCAACACACCATTAAAAAAATGATCTATCAACACACCATTAAAAAGTTGATCTATCAACAGTTCAACACGCCATTAAAAAGTTGATCTATCAACACGCCATTAAAAAGTTGATCTATCAACACGCCATTAAAAAGTTGATCTATCAACAGTTCAACACACCATTAAAAAGTTGATCTATCAACACGCCATTAAAAAGTTGATCTATCAACACGCCATTAAAAAGTTGATCTATCAACAGTTCAACACACCATTAAAAAGTTGATTTATCAACACGGAGTAGGGGGTAGGGGGTGACTAGCGACATAACATCTCTAGGAATCTAACGTAGGCTTGCCCCCCCCCCCCCCCCGAAAAAATTCTACCGCCCCTCCCCCGAACAAAATGAAATTTATATAATCTATATAGAAAATATATACTTTTAACAGTGTCCGCCCCCCCCCCCCCCCCCGAAGAAAGTCTACCGCCCCCCCCCCCCCGAAACAATTCTACCGCCCCCCCCCCCCCCCAAACAAAATGAAATTTATATAATTTATACAGAAAATATATACTTTTAACAGTGTCCGCCCCCCCCCCCCCCGATGAAAGTCTACCGCCCCCCCACCCCCCGAAAATTGCAAGTGCCCCCCCCCCCCGGAGAAAAAAGTCTGGAAGAAACACTGGTAATATTTCCACATAATAAAATATTTAATTTTAAAAAATAGGAATGTAACGAAACACATCAGATAGTAATAAAACAAGTAAAAAGTAATGAAACGAATAAAAATATAAAGAAACAAATTTAATAAAACAAATAAAATGTAAAACAAATAAAATGTAAAGAAACAAATAAAATGTAATGAAACAAATAAAATGTAATGAAACACATAAAAAGTAATGAAACAAATAAACATCGTATTACAACTCTTACAAGCGCAATAGACTTATTATTTACCTAGCAATGGCAGGTGTAATATATTTAGAATTGTGAAGTCAAGGGAACTCACTCTTCTTGTATTAGTCTTATATTTATAATGTTGTTTTGAGTGATGTCCCCTGGTTTTGTCATGTGTCTTCCGGTTTCGAATAAAGCTAGATATACATCAACGTGGCTCTATCATCCAGTGTGTAATAATAAAAACATCAATCCATTACATTTGGCGACGAGGATAAATCATCCACAGAAAAAGAGCACATGCTTACTTAAAAAGAAGCTT